CCGTCGCCCTCAACTCTTCGAATGAGGAGCCCTTCACGAGCTTTTCCATTGTTTTATTGTTTATTCGAGTTACTCAGGTAGAATCCCATACCTTGACGTTTCTTGCGGAAACGACATATCTCTCACGCTATTAACATTGGACTTAAGTGACATGAGCTTTAAAAGTTCTACAACATTAAAAGTTCGGGGTTTCATAATTTTTTGCACATCTACATCTACTACAGATGACATACATGTAAAGATCATCCTTATCGGTCCGGCAGTTCGTCAGATATAGTGCTTCCAAGATTTTTCTTGTAGCTGTATAATATAGAAAATGGAACTACATCCACTTTGACATGAGCCCTTAATGCACGTGTGCTTTTGTGGATCTCAGAGGTCATGTTAGAATTGGTATAGTTCCTCTTGATTTAAATGCGTGTCTAATGGAAAAAAGCAATTGCCCATGGTGACACAGCGTGCGTCGAGAACGGGCTACTGTGAGGTGACATGAGAGCATGAAACACGCTAGGACGCCTGCATTTTTTCAGTATGCAATACGGACAGTTAGTAAGCGCGAATAGTTGCGTATGATTCCGGCGTTATCAACATGATCAAATGTAAATTTTTAAGTATAATAATGTCTCCATGCGTCAAGTAGGTAATTTCTGTTTGTCGGTGCGCCTAGTTTTCTGTGACGTGTTAAAGTCTCTGCAGCGATTTCTCCATTTTGATTCAATTTTAAAATAAATACTTGGGGACAAATTAATGCTGAGATCATACTGAATTCACCGGTGCAAATTTTTTTCTTTCTTTCTTTCTTTTTTTTTTCAAGCATTATTGGTTTGGGAGGAATTTGACAGGATACCTTACTAGGTGACTCCCTCTCCTTATTTTAAAAAAATGACGCTTTTTTTAGATACTGGAATCGATATTTCACGGTGTTTGGAAAACAACTCACCCTGTAATTGTCCATGTATTATGCTCGAACAGCTTTGTGTGTGGCAAAGTTGCTGCAAAAAAGGGGCTGTAATTAATTTTTCAGGGTCAAACTGCGCTAATCACGTAAAATGACGCATACGGTCGTGTCTCAGGACAAAATTTCAGACACTTGATAGCACGCGCACGTGTGCTTTGCCTGTACTACTGTGCTTTGCCGTGCAAAGGAAAAACGCCGTATGAACATTCGAGAGTTGCCAAATTTCCTTCGATAAAATTTCTATTTTTGAAGAAAGTTATGAATATTTTCCCTTTACATTTTCAGAATCTTTAAGTGAAATCGCGAAAAAAATTATCTAAAAAATTAGGAGGAAAGTATTCATAAGTTTACCAGAAAATTTGCGTTTTATCGAGGGAAACTTGGCAACGCCTGAAGGTTCATACGGCGTTTTTCCCTAGCACGCAGTGTAATTCCGATTGGCGAAACACGCGCGATTGCGATGAGTGCGACTAGTTATGGCTGTGAATGTGGGAAAGTTGAGGAGAGGGGGAGGATTTGCAAACATTTTTCTGGAGATAATGTACTAATCACGAAAAAATGCGCCAAAAGTAGTGTCTGTTGACAAATTTTCAGATCTTTAACAGCAATGAGCCTTTGTGCCTCGCGTTCGACTTAAATCGGCGCAGAACAAAATTTACAATGTAGATCGGTGAACCGAGGCTCTGAGAGATCGATATATTTGCATAGATTTAAATGGGAAAAAAGGACCCCATTTACAACTATGCAAATATATCGATTTTGGGAACCAGAGGGTGATCGTGTTCGGCGAACCGAGGCTGAGCGAGATCGATATATTTGCATAGTTTTGAATGGGCAAAACGGACCCCATTTAAAACTATGCAAATATATCGATTTCTGGAAGCCGGGTCGTGATCTTGAGTGAACTGATGCTCTGAGAGATCGATATATTTGCATAGTTTTAAATGGGAAAAAGAGACGTCATTTAAAACTATGCAAATAAATCGATTCTGGGAGCCGGATGATGATCTTTTTCAGTGAACCGAGGCTCAGAGAGGTCGATATATTTGCATAGTTTTAAATGGGAAAAAGGGACGCCGTTCAAAACTATGCAAATAAATCTATATTGGGAGCCGGAGGGTGATCGTGTTGGACGAACCGAGGCTCAGAGAGATCGATATATTTGTATAGTTTTAAAGGGGCGAAAGAGACCCCATTTAAAACTATGCAAATATATCGATTTAGATAGCAAGGTCGTGATCTTGATCGGTGAACCGAGGCTCAGAGAGATCAATATATTTGCATAGTTTTCAATGGGCTAACGGGATCCCATTTAAATTTAGCAAATATATCGATTTTGGGAGCCGAAGGGTGATTGTGTTCGCGCGAACCGAGGCTCTGAGAGATCGATTTATTTGCACACATTTAAATGGGATCCCTTTCGCCCATTTAAAACTATGCAAATATATCGATCTCTCTGAGCATAGGTTCACCGATTAAGATCACGACCCGGCTCCCAGAATCGAAATATTTGTATAGTTTTAAATGCGGTCCTTTTTGCACTTTTAAAACTATGCAAAAATATCGATCGCTCTGAGCCTCGGTTCGCCGATAGTGGTTTGGTGTGCTTTGCGATGTATCGATTGTTATGCCATTTAAACCTATGGAAAAGGAACGATAAACAGGGTGTTCGCAGCGAACACCATAATAATCGATTCTTTACCATAGGTTTAAATGGCACAACAATCGATATATCGCAAAGCACGCCACGCCACTGTTCGCCGAACACGATCACCCTCCGGGTCCTAAAATCGATTTATTTGCATAGTTTTAAATGGCATCCCTATTGCTCATTTAAAACTCTGCAAATATATCGATCTCGAGAAACGGTCAAAAACGAGTGTTTCTGGCCCTGTTGCAAAAGTACGTTTTTGTCGGTACCGCGGACTCGTGGAGCTTTTCCGACCAGAAAATCGGGCTCAGCGGGTCATTTCCAAGCGGACTAGCTTGGTTTCGGCTCGATCGGAGAACTTTTCATTTTGACCCTAAAAATTTAGTCCATGGTACCCCTGTGGATCGTTCTCGATTTCGGAGGGGAAAAAGAAAGTCGAGATTAGTGTTGAATCCTACGTAATTTTAGGCGTAGAATCGATTGCGCCCGGTCCCGTGACTTGCCGAATTCGACACTAATCTCGACATTTTTTCCCCCTCCGAAATCGAGAAAAATCCACAGGGGTACCATGGACTAAATTTTTTCGGTCAAAATGAAAAGTTCTCCGATCGAGCCGATACCAAGCTAGTCCGCTTGGAAATGACCCGCGGGGTCCGATTTTCTGGTCGGAAAAGCTCCACGAGTCCGCGGTGCCGACAAAAACGCACTATTGCAACAGGGCCAGAAACACTCGTTTTAGACCGTTTCTCGGCTTAGGGAGCTCCGGCGAGTCTCGGGACCGGGCGCAATCGATTCTACGCCTCAAACTACGTAGGATTCGACACTAATCTCGACATTTTTCCCCCCCTCCGAAATCGAGAAAAATCCACAGGGGTACCATGGACTAAATTCATGTGCAAATGATGGCACGCTCCGGCAACAAGGTTCTGTGACGAAATCATTTTTGCCTCCAGAGTCTCCAAAATGTATACATCTTAGTGATCAAATGTCCAATCACTGAGAGCCAAATGTCACTCGCGTAGCGAGTGATCGTGGGTCCAGGGGGCGCAGCCCCTTGGCTGGCCATGACGGACGCGCAAAGCGCGTCCAGAACGGCTAGTATATCGATAAACGTACAGTGAGGTGACACTAAATCTATCGCTAAGTGAAGGCGTCGCGAACCCGGCGCGGCGTGGTGGCCCGAGCGAAGCTTTTCCTGGCTGCTTGGCCAAGGAGATGATCATCATCATGAAAAGAAAGGCGGCGAAGAGAAAGGTAGGGAAAGAATGCCAAGGTCGCGGAGTCGCGGACAAGGATGCCGCCTGGCGCAGGGGTGAAAAGGGGAAATGTGCTAAAAGGAAAAGGTGGAAAGGTGCTAGCAGGAAAAGGTGAAAAGAAGAGTCAGGCGCTAGGCTGGTGAATAGAGATAGATATTGAAGAAGAAACATGGCATGGCGCCGTACTATATGTGTAGGTAGGAACGATACAACAGTATTACCTATTGATAATTTTTTTCTAGTATGGGAAATAGTATAAAAATAGATGTAAAAGTGAGAAAATGCACCGCCTAGTGACGTCATCTGACAGCATTTCCCATTTAAACACATGTACTTTAGCATAGTAGATCATTTTGTCATATCTTTTCCAATAATTCGTCACCTGCCCGACGTAGGGGCGTAACTACTATCAGCAATGAACCTTGTTGTCCATACAATTTAATGATTTTCCGGGCTCATCTCAATTTGTAGTTACGCCCTTATGTCAGCCGGGCGACGAATGGTTCAATTCAAGACCCAGGGCAGGGGTATCCTCGTGTTCAGTTCACTCAGTGGTTTTCACTTAAACACGAAATTAATCAAATTTCAGACACCTGCAAATTATTTATTGATCCACAGACTGAAATTTCGATTTTTCGATAATTTTCCACAGGTTTAAATGGCAGATCAATCGATGTATCGCAAAACACGGCACGCCACTGTTTTTCTTTTTCATAGCTCCATGGCGTGCATTTTACGGTGGATTCTTAATTTTTGCACAATTCACTCTGAGTGCGATCGAAATATCTCAAAGCTTAAAGCATTAGGTGGATGTTTCGGAAAAACATGGTGTTCGAAACGAACACGTCAATAATCGATTCTTTACCATAGCTTCAAATGCGGAAAATAGCGATCGATCATTCACGCCTCGCCACTGGAAGTGTGAAGTGCACGAACACCGCGCTGCAAATTCATTTTTTTGTCTCCCAAAACTCATTAAGTCCATCGTTGCACAACAGCCTTTCGAATGATACCTTCGTGTTCAAGCTGCAACTGCGTTTTCATCTTTGAGGCAGAAAAACGGAACTGCATCGTCAGCCTGAATGACGCATGCACCTTATGCATTTGCGCCTTTATAAAAGCATGCAACTCGCTGGAGCTGCGTTCAGAATTAGTGAGAATTCTTAGATTTGACCACGTTATGGATTTAATCGGTTGCCTGATTGTAGTGGGCCTAGTTATCGTTAGCTCAGTGTCGTGTTCTGGTAAGTTATTTCCAGTGGTGTGGCGTGTTTTGCGATCTATCGATTGATCTGTCATTTAAACCTATGGAAAAGTACCGATAAACAGGGTGATCGCAACGAACACCTTAATAATCAATTCCTTACCATAGCTTAAAATGGGGACATCATTTTCGATCATTTACGCCACGCCACTGGTTATTTCGTCATGTATATTCGTATTTAACCTCCTTGTTTTAAATTGCCACAAAATGTATCATCAATTCAGTTTATTGTACCATAAGAGTGGGGTACCCACTCAAACTCATCCAGAGTATGAATCTTGAGGTCTAAGAGTGAAAAGGGTGGATTGAAGCAAAACCAGCATACATTTTTTGCCTAATTTTTCTTCCAGTTCGATTTTTTTTTATTTATTAATATTTTTTAACCAGAAAACGATTTGGAAACAGAGCTGAGCACTCTCACTTGCATTTTTGTAAATACATGGATGATAATTTACGAAACATCAGAGAAAGATTCAGGGCGTTACATTGTTTTGTTCTTTGTGAAAAATAAAAGAAACAACAAAAACAAAGCCTGAGAGAAAGACGGACAGCGTGAAAAGCAGTTCACCCAAGTGGCAGTGATCGCGATAAGTTGCGATTTGATCGGATAGAATGCATCGCGATTTTATTGACGTCGATTTATTGCGATATGATCGGATAAAAAATTGCGATTTCATCACATAATTTGCAACCAAATCGCAATTTTATCGACGGCGATTCATCGAACTGAAAATCAATCAAGTGATTAATTGAGATCAAATTTCAAATTCATCGAACACGATTTTACAGAGGTAAAATTGCGCCAAGATCGAGGATAATCGCTCAGACGTTGATAATCCTAGCTAATGGCGATTTATCGCCGAAAAATCAGGGGAAAATCGCAACTTATAATTTCAAAATATCGCGATTTTTCCGTTGAAAACTGCCACTTGGGATACACTAATTGAATGGCTTGGAGGACAAGACGCATAAGTTCTGTTTTTGTATTTTGAGGAATACGTGTTTGAAGTTTCGAAACTACACGGATCCTTATGGCGGAAAGAAAGTCCAAACTGACTTTTCGCTTCTTAGGAATAGAAACTTGGGAACGAATTTTTCATAAAATATATGCGTTAAGACTAGTTTTACTTAAATAATTAATATCTCATTTATTTTCAAAAACTGAACTTATGCGTCTTGTTCTCCAAGCCCCTAAATTGTGAGTTTTTTTGGAAATTCGTCCACAAAATATTCCGAAAATTGGAGCGCAACTTGACTCAGCGCTATGGCAAATCATGTCTCTCCCCTCCAGGGCAAGGCCCGGCAAATTATCATATGAAACTTGAGTCGATCTGTAGTGATTTTAAAAGGAAAAAATAATCCAAACGAAAAGAAAAACCTTTTTTTGGTTTCACGGAAAACGAAGTAAGAGCCGGGAATCATAGGTCATCCTCTGAACAGCTTCTTCTCTTTAGGATGCCTTGTTCGGTTTACAATGTAAAACTTTACATCGAGATAAAGGAAGCCTTTACAATATCATCCGAAGGAGGAAATTTGTACCGGTCTCGAAATAAATTTATAATAATAATAAAAAATATACATTTTCGAAATTTCTTATGGGTCTCAGGGCTTACGTCATAATGCACATAGTTCCGTTTAACAAAAATACGTCCAGTTATACAGTTGAATTCAATTGAAGGTTCGTCCTGTTCATTATACATATGCAACAGTGGCGTGGCGTGCTTTGCGATTAATCGATTGTTATGCCATTTAAACCTATGGAAAAGGATCGATAAACAGGGTGTTCGCAGCGAACACCTTAATAATCGATTCCTTATCATAGGTTTAAATTGCATAACAATCGATACATCGCAATTCACGCCACGCCACTGATATGCAATCTCAGGGGTCTACTTAATCACAGTATAAACCATACTGCCGTGCTAAGCAAGAACGCCGTATGAACATTCGAGAGTTGCCAAATTTCCCGGGATAAAATACGTACTTATTTAGGGGGCAAGTTATGCACATTGCACATATTTCCTTGAAATTTTCAGATATTTTATATTAAATTACAAACAATTATGTCTGAAAATGTTAAGGAAGAAGATTAACAACTTATCCCAGTGAATTCGTTTTGTATCGAAGGAAATATCGCGGCACCTGAAGGTTCATACGGTGTTTTTCCTTAGCACGGCAGCATAAGAAGCCTCCTTAAGGGCAGAAGCTGCTTAAGAAAATACTATTTATACACAAATTTTAAACTGTTCTGGAAAGAGTGACCATGACGGGGTCAATTTACTTCAGAGTGCAGAATATATTTTCCGCACAAAGTACTTTTGTGGTAATTTTTCCGATTAGCGTTGCCACACAAAATAATTTTTTGCTCACTCATGTTTCTTAAATATGCCTCATATTTTTCTCGACGTTGCCACATACAACAGAAAATTATTTGTGCGAAAATTATTTTGTGCGACAACGATACCTAATCGGAGAAATCACCACGAATGTACTTTGTGCGGAGAAGATAGTCATCCAGCCGTTCAGAGTGCATATCTGCCGTGCCAAGGAGCGGTGCATGAGCATTGAATTGTGCATAATTGAAGCGTTGGATGCAGAAAGGACATTCTCGGTTGCGGAGTTTTATAATATTCACTGCTAATTTATATTTTACGAGGAAAATTATTGAGTGCATCTTCTTAGATAATTCGTTTTCGGTATTGTAAAATAATAGAGAATATTCAGTAAAAGTTACAACGACTTACATGCATTTGGTTTCATATAAAGCATGAAAAGGTGGCGAAAACTTTTTGAGACGCCGTAATCAAGGAATGCCCTGTTTATCAATCGTTTTCCACAGGCTCAAATGACAGATCACTCTATATAATGTAGCGCACGCCACGCATAGAGTACGTAGAGTCGTATTGTAAGTGGGAAAGCTGGCGCCACTTTTAAGCATTTTCCAGGTCCCGAATTCCGAGACTCCTGTGTGACGCTGGGTCACTATTTCGATACATATTCGATTGTTTTTGATACAGGGGGACCCGGCTAATCAATGTAAACAAAAAAGATTTGAATCCCTTTATAACCAGAGTTACAACGTTTCAATTCTGGTCGAGCTTGGTCAAGCCTTCGTTGGGCTGAAAGTGGCCTAAAAAAATCCAATTCTGATTGGTTCTCACTCATGGAGTCACTAAAGGGTGCACCAAGATGACGGTGTTCAAATATGTAAAAAAAAATAATGGAAAAAGAAGCGGTTAACCTACAACACCCCAGTGTTGTATAAAGCGCGCATTTTTCCTCTTGGTTGAGAGGACTGCATCTGATCGACTGATCGACTTGCAGAATACCGTCTCGTGTTAGAGTGTATGTACTTGTGAAAATATTTGTGGACCTTCCATACCATTTCAAAATGCCATGGATTATTTAAAAACAATCTTTTTTAATGCAACCTCAGTGGACCTTGTGGACCGTAGAAAGTTGCTTAGTCAACTATACTGCGGATTAGCATGGCGAGAGAGGCAGGTCCGCCACAAGGGGGGGGATACTGGTTCCCTGGTACCGGGGCCCGTGTTACCCGTGAAAAACCACTACGAATTCACATGCAACCCTTGTTTCGTGAGAAAAAGTGAAAAATTTACCCTAAAAACTTCGCAAAAGGTGAATGGATTTTCAGAAACACGCTGGGGCACCTTAGAATTCTTCTTAAATTTTCAAAGAAGTATACTTCCTGGAAAATTTCTATCTATTTTCAAGATTTTCAGTATGGAGGGACATTTTTAGTAACAGCGTTTCATTTTCTTCCGTCGTCAGATGCTAAGAGTCTCCAGTCTGGGCATCCTCGACTTCAATGGCTCATGGCTCAGTTCTCTTGCCATAGACAAACGAAGGGGGGCCTGGCCCTCTTAGAACTGAAAATAGTATCATATGCCCCCCCCCCCAAAAAAAAAAAATAAAAATGTTCCAGATGTTTTCAATTCAACAATTCGCAAGTATTTTATGCTGAAAGTAGGGGAAAAAAAAACCATAAATATTCCGCTGAAATTAATGGAAAAATTTTTCACGGAAGCTTCAAAATGCGTCTGATTAGTCGTATAAATTCTAAAATTTCTCGGGGGATGCCCCCCTGACCCCCCTCCTCCGTGCTTGGGGCCCGGACCTTACAACTGGTACCAGCGCAGGTCCCGAGATGGGATGTGGCGGGCCCGGAGAGAGGATGAAATTGCTTTATTAGTGTGCTCGGGGATCCTCTCCTCGTTTAAGTGGGCGGAGCGAACGAAGACGCCGCGCGAAGCTACCGACCGTGGCTAATACCTGATGAAGGAACTCTTACATTTTAAGATTTACAATAATTAATAATAATATAATCTATCGTTTAAATTAAATTTCTGATTTGACTTCTAAGCGTAAAATTGTTCCTTGGGAGTAATTTTCCACCTAGTTTAATGCGCGTAATACTTTTTATTTCCCAATCTAAATTATTGAGGTGAGAAGTTTAAATTATCCCCCCACTGGTTGGTACACATGTCAAACCAGGGTTAAACACCAAATCGAACTAGAGTCCCATTAAACTGAAAGTGAGTCAAGACAACACCCCCTCATGGAGTCACGAACGGGAATGAAGATTACAGAAATTGAACGTTTTTTTGTAATCTTTGATCGGCCCATTCTCAAATTCCTTTCTCCGTTCTTTCTCTCATTCCGTTTGTTCCTTACCGACCTCGTAATCCCCGGGTCCATTCTAGATTATGATCTTTGCAATCGGTGATAATGTATTCTTTATTCCCGTTTGTGGCAAGGCTTAAAATACGGGAACCCCTCAGAAATGGATTCACATTGTCTTGACTCTCAGTGTAAAAGGACTCTAAATCGAACTTGCGCAGTATCGACTTCAAATGATGATTCACCGCGAAATTCAAACGCGTTGATGAAAAATGATCATAATAAAATGATTTAGATAGAGAATTTAGGCTCCACACGTCACAAATAAACTGCTAGCACTGTCGCATTTACTTATACAGCGACGGACGTAGAAAAAACGCGTTTAAATGATAGGTATTTCTAAAGTCACCACGCTGTGGAGGACGTAATTTTTTATTGAAATCCCTATATTCTGGTCAGTGGTGAAGGATATAACCGTGGAATAATACCTGCACACCGATTCGAAAAAGCGAACCGTTCTAAATACGGAGCGCTTAATTAATAATACCTATTGGTGATTTATCAAGAGTAAATTGTCATTTTCATCGCACCAAAATGAAAATACATCAAGAAATTATTCAAAAATCAATCTCATTTTATTTTATTGCAATTTCTTCGGCTAGGTTTTGAACAGTTGTGTTGATGTTGTATTTGGATGACATAAATCGCAGGGTTCCCTATCGATTGTCGGCCTCCTATGGTGTAGTGGTTGTAGCGCTTGCTCTATGATCGGGAGGTCCCGGGTTCGATTCCCGGCCAGGCAACCCGAGTTTGACGTAGAGTACCTATATTGAGAGAGTATGGCCACTGGGGTTACCACCTCTGATTGGCTAAGCCATCTTAGGCTAAATGGAGCCCTTTGGACCCAAAAATGGCGGACGCTATAAATTAAATGTAATGCAAAATGACTCAAAATGTAGTTTTCTTTGCTTATCGTAACGAGAAATTTACTCAAATGCACTATTGCGACATATTTACATATTTTTAAGGCTAATCGTGTGCAACTTTTGAGAAAAATTATCTCAGATGTAGTAAGGTTGGCAGTAAGTGCGGTTGGTGAAAACCGTCAAAAGTTGGCAATGACCCCCCTCCCATCCACAAAAACCAAAACAAAGCACCGCCATTTTTGGGTCCTAAGCCTCTCCATGGGGCCCAGTGGCCATACTCTCTCAATATAGGTACTCTAGTTTGACGGTCTCAAACCTATGACGGCCCTTCTGGGCTATTTGAAGTAGTAAAAAAAAAAAAAAAAAAAAAAAAAAAAAAAAAAAAAAAAAAGAAAAAAGATATCCCTCAATATCGTTCGTTTGGGTGCACACTTTTGTGACACCATGGCCAACCCAGGCCAGCTGATAATCGAGATTGGGATGTCTTAACTCTGGGTATGAAGGGACTCTAAAGAAGATAGGCATTACTCGTATTCCACACCGCCATTGTGGATCGAGCATGTATCGAAAAATAGACCGAAGCTCGGCGCACACCGGGCTCGCGGGCTCGGAACTCGTCGACCAGAACATTGCGCCAGCTCTTCAATTTTCAATTTTCATTACGCTCCACGTACTCTATGACGCGACGCGGCGCCACTGATATCGATCGTTCCGACCAAGCTACCAAAAATTACTGAGTTACTACCTTATGCCCGGATTTGTTTTAGTTGAAACGTTTATCGAGACCAAATTATTTCCCTTTCGGTTTATATTGCCCAAATGCATTTTATCTTTCCTCCGGGTTTTAGAGCACAGACCTGACCAACTGTGGACCGAGGCTATGTGTGAAGTTACGTGTCTGGAAAAAGAGGGATATGTCGACACTTCCTCTCTAACTCAAGTGTTTAAAACAGATATAATACCGTTAGCCAAAGCGCATGTCACGCATTCTCCAAGATTTCTGAAGAAGAATGTAAACTCTGGATGCAAGTGTAAGATTAAGACCAACAATCCTGATCTCGTGAAATACTTCAACAGAATGGGTGCGCCCCTCATGCAATTTAAAATTTATCATAAGTTAAGAGGCTCGCATCATGCCCGGGAGTGGCTTAAGAAGCATAATATCACAGTCCAGTTCCCCCACCGTCCGGAGTCCGAGACACTCTCAGGATCTCAGAAGGTTTATTATTTTATTAACTTTAATGACATGATGTCCTGAGGGTTTCGTCATAAACCCTCTCCCTTAGGGGTATAAGTATAAGCTCATAGCTCATACATGAAGCTAGCGAATCGCGATAAGTTGCGATTTGATCGGAGAATATATGGCGATTTTATCGACACCGATTTTTTGTAATATTATTGGATTTACAAATTGCGATTTCGTCTCATAAATTGGGAATAAAATCGTGATTTTATCGACGGCGTTTAATCGCAATGTTATCGAACAAAAAATCGTCATAAATTGAGATAAAATTTTAATTTTTTCGAACGCGATTTTATAGAGATAAAATTGAGAGAAGATCGAGGATAATCGCTCTTATGTTGATGATCCAAGCGATTTTATCGCCGTAATATCGTAAAAAAATTGCAACTCAATTTCAGAATATCGCGATTTTTCAGTTGAAAAATTACCACGAATAGGCTTTATAAGCTTCAAGATCACTTTGGTCGGCCAGGCAGGTCTAGTGGTCAGTGCAACTGACTCTGGGTCAATTGGTCCCGGGTTCAAATCCCGGTAGTGACTTCAAGTATCGGTACTGACGAACAGATCTACAGTAAAAATAATTATACTCGGTCTCAATACCTTATAATATGAAAGGCGGCACTGAATACGAGTAGTATCCCTAAATGGCTGTAGGATCGGAACATAATCCATTAAATCAACATAAAAAGGATCACAATGCAACCTTGTTGCGCTCATTCAGTCAAAAATTGACTGAGTTATAGCGAGTTTTAAGCGACGTGTTCCTTTATCTCCTGGGAAAATTTTAATTTTTTTTTTTTGGATGAGAAAAAAAAACAAATAAGAAGCATCAAGTTCCACTACAGCAAAATGTTGACAACCAGTGCTGTGTAGTGTCAGGTGTTACAAACTTTTCACAGATACATCGGTGAGAGACGACCGAAATTCGAATAGTCCTGGATGGTGCATAATGTTAATGAACGTTTGCATACGTCGACCTTTGCAAAAGAGTTCATGGAAAATAAAAAAGGTTAGATCCCCCCTCCCCCATAGTCCAGACTTAGGTCCCTGAGATTATTGCCTCTTCTCGGAGCTAAAAACAAGACGTTCCAACGTAATTGCGTTGGAGGACGCTTCTTTCAGTGACAGGGGGAAGTAATATAGTTGTCCAAACTTCTTCAGTCACATATAAAACATAAAAGAGAACCATAAAAAAAACAAGCAGTGAATTCCAACACAATGTGTTGATAAGGCGCGTCATTAACTCGCACATATCAACCCCTTTAGTTTTCATTTACAGAGATTTCAAAAAAAGCAAGCAGCACAACAAGAGAATTCACGATCCAACACTGCGAGGTCAACGACGCACCTTGACGAGACCGTGTATTGTGAATCTAGAAAGCTATTCGAACAAATTTAAGTTTTTTGATCTGCCTCAAGCAAAATCTTATCAGATTCTTGAAGAAAAGTGCTACGGAAAAATTTAAGCGAAGAAAGGAAAAATTCTGTCGAACTCCTAGAAGATAAAGTCAATTTAAAGGTATTTTGGGGCTAAAATACCCAAATCACCGGTAGTATAAATCCCGTCATATTATTGAAAAGAAATGACTCCATATAAATGCAATTGCATTAAATACGTCTTGATTTTGTTATTTTAAACGTCTTTCCATGCAAAGAAGTTCAACCATGTCGTTGCTTTATTCATTCATGAATTGAAAGTAAACAATCTACATCCCGAAAATCTACTGGTTTGCCGTAAAAACTTGCAGAAACTTGATATACCAGGTCGATGCACCCACTCGTTGAATTTACCAACCAATTTCGTGAGTGCAAATGTGTGAACATCAATATGCTATAGTTATTTTGGGTGCATTTATTTTTCATGAAACAATAATAATTTCAATCCCGAAAAACCATCAATTTTCCGTATAAAATCGAAAAAATCAAAATATGTCGACTCCCCGACGTAAAAATTAGATTCTACGTGTGTAAATACTTATGTATCGATATGCTGAACAGAAACTATGTGTGGACACAGTCAGAAGCCCGCGGCAACATTAATTCAACAGAAAAACTGTAAAAATTGGATCGGATTATAGCCGCTTTGCCCGCCTCTCCTCGTTACTTACAACAAACCGTTCTTATACTCATCTCAAAATTTTTCTCAGAGCTTTGGGTTATTATCAGCTTCCATTTAAACTCCGGTTCGATGGCCGAATCGGCTGCCAAAAAAGCAAGCCACTGTTGAAGGGTTCTATGAGAAATTCGTGATATTATCGGCTCTCAGGAAATCACCCCATGGCTAAAATTGGTGGTATAAATGTTTAAGTGCTTAAAATAATCGTATTCAAGAAACTAAGGAATTAAACTATGGAGTCAATTTCTTTTTAATAATATAACGGGATTTACTACCGGTGATTTAGCTATTATAGCCCCAGAATACTTTTAAAGCGCCTTTGCGTTCCAGAATCTCGACGGAATTTTTTTTTTTTTGGCTTAAACGATTCAAGAGACGTTGTAGTTAAAATTATAAAGATTTTTCGATTTGGATGTATAAAAAAAGTTTAACTCGTTCAGGCACACCGTGTATTGTATGAAGTACTGCTGTTATTCGACCGTTGTCTTCAGGTCAAAATTCTTACAAAGAAGCCCCTTGCAAGAGGCGAATTTTTTGTAATTTCTCCCAGTTTTTTCAGCGTTAGGTATGTAAATGAATTGCTTGTCAAATTCTGAGGTCAATTATATTTAATTGTAATTTATACTTTCTTTTTTTCCCCTTCATTTTATTTTTCGTATCGAGAAGTCGAGGTTTTGTTGATTTCTTCGGATTTCGATAACTGTAACTTCTCTTCTATTCGGCCGATTTTTATGAATGAGGTCTCTTTTTATTTGTGTTTTAACGGAGAGTAAGGAAAAAATTGCTAAATACATGCGAAACAATTTTTTTTGAAAATTGGATGAATCCTAGCGTGACGGCGAAATGGTTAATGAAGCGTGAGTAATTGGGGTACGGGTATCGGCCGCGTTGGGACCCAAGGCGGCCCAAGGCCCATTGTTCTTCGTGGCGCCGACGCAGTGATCAGGAGCGTGGGGAAGAGAGGGCTGAGTGGACTCCTGTATGAGCCACGTTTAGCAAATGGTCTAATGAGTCTCGAGGCTCATCACAGATTGCACTTACCACTATCCTGCTGGCCCCGGCTATCAGAGCAAGGAGTACCAACTTTTGAAAAGGATAACAGTGGTGTGGAGATATGTCAAAGCAACGTTTTGAACAAAACGGAGTGAGTGAAATTCTCATTCAAGGAGTGCCGAACTGGTCAGCCATCCTCGAATCAGTTCGCTTGCTTCCGCTTATATATGCATATTTTAAATCAGCGCGTCGTACTCTTAGGCTTTTTTTAAAAAAACCAAGTAACGTAGACTCTTGGTATTCACTGCACATAAACTAGCGAGCCCCAGAATGAGAAACAACTTTAAATCATAATTATTGACGGATAAATAAACTTTTTACACGCTTTGGAAAATCTCAGAAGTTCGCGGTAGTCACTTTTCGGTAAGGAACTAAGGGACTCGGTTATTGTATCGAGCAGGGTTCGAAACGATCGCAAAGGCGGTATACTACGTATACGCGCCAAAATTCTCCCCGGCGATGGATCGATTCCCGATCTGTGGAATTTAAGTCAGGCGCGGAGGCACTTGGCCACGCTGGAAGCGCTGTCTAAAATACACATTTGACTAAAGAATTGACTCATAGCTCGGAGAATTAAGAGAGGTGTTTAGAAATATTGGCCACATGCTTCTCAGCGGTTTTTCGAAGCTCTCCCTCAGCGTCTTGGCCCAATGGATTGGCCTTGAGGCAAATTATCAATACTTGGATTTTCATGAATTAAATCAATCAATCGTTCAATATAAACGTCTAATCTTGGCTTTTATGAACAGAATGGGTCCTCTATTGGTCCTCTAAAGCAATTGCCTACCATGTACAATGCTCATTATTTTTTATTTTTTATTTTTTTTTATATTCTTGAAATTTGAAGTGCGATAATGGCATGGTGGCCCCGGAAAAGTTACCTGACTATTTCGAAAGTAGTCTTGAAAAGCACGTGTGCGATATAAGATAAGATAATTATATTAATTTGTATATAAAGCCATGTGGCTATGATACAATTTCAAGTAAAAATAAACAATCTATGGTTTATATACATATAGATCATACAGATATACATAAGGATTACAAACCTAAAGTGGGTTACTGAAGAATTTCTTTGTTCGATAAGAACCTAAATCAAAATTGATCAACAATCAATAAGATGGGTGAGGTTGCAACTCAGAATAAAACAACGAACAAAAGCTGCTTCTAGCTGCAGTAGCATTGAAGAGCGAAACTAATCAAATTGTATATCATCATAGTTGCAACACTCGACCCGAAAAAACTAAAGACATTGGGGTCAGATGCCGCAACATGGCAGTCTGACTAAACTTCAAGACACGAATTTTCCTCCCCCAGACTAAGACGAATAAGAACTCAAAATAAGTGCCAGAAACCGCAACAAGGCTATCTGGACTTTAGCTCTCTTCTTAGCAGCTCAATACAAAAAATCGGCTATAGGTGACCGCAACGTGGTTCACCTGTTAACACTCGCGAGAATTCGCGAGCATTCAAAAAGGGGGGATTTTAGCCGCACTTGAGGTGATCCCTTATAGGTTCAAGACCTTAGGCGCAACAAGCCTTTTTAGCCTTGTCTTAAGGGTCTCTCGAAGATTGACTCAACAAAAGATCGCACCGAGGAGTTGACTTATAGGTTCAAAACCATAGGCTCAACATGCCTTTTTAGCTTTGGCTTGAGGACTCCAAGGTTGATCACAAAAACTCTGACGAAACACGGAGCACGTGCTCAGGCATCAGTGTCCGGTCCGGGCCTCTCTTCAAAAGAGGTGACAATAGCTAAATAGACGCAACTTGTCTGTAATCTAGCTATCGCCGGGTTGGGATTCTCGCTCTACGTAACTCGTCCCAGAGACACTGATTAGGAGGAATCAGTGGCCGGGCAACCAAAAACTAAAGCTCGCCAATTCTCGCGAATAAAATGAACAACTTAGTGCTAACAATACAACACACAATAAATCAAAGGCTACTTAGTCAAAAATGCCAACAATCTATCTGGCAAGTAGCAAGGTCCAGGAAAGATGACTTCAATTGAGCAAAATCAATGAGGAAAACGGTACAAATTATTAGCTCTCAGGCCGGCGATCTCAACGCGATCTATCGGCTGAAAGCTAAACTACTTGCTCTCAATTTCAGCTGCAATATCAATCGAAAAAATAGCCAATACGGAACATTCTTGAAGGAATAATAAGGCCTTTTTTGGAGATAGTTTTTTAATTTTTTCAGGAAAACTATGACTCCCTCTTCCTTGAAGGCCCCTCGCAGTGATGGGGATAATATGTCAAATATTTCCACTGTTCTGTGAATACACGCCTTCCCCCTCTGTTCTTTGTTTTTATTTGATCGTGGAAGTCATTCCGTTAGGAGATTCTGCGATATTAGGAGAACTTGTCTCGGAAAAATTGAATAATCTTTTCGCTCTTTAGTTTTATTTGTAAAAACGATCAAATAGTGAATGGGCTGTTGCACAAGGCATAATAAATTCTGCCATAGTAAAGGAGCCATAATATTGTCCTGAGTTTTGGGTGTTATGTAAACATTTTAATTAAGTAAGAATTAATCCATATAGTTGAAATTAGCAGAGTAAAAGAAATTTTACATACAGGGTTATCCAAAAGTCACCTACCACCCCTGTAACTTTTTTCCTAATTGAGACAGAAGTTTGAAACTTTGGGAATGTTCCTCGGTTTAAGGTAGCAACTTTTTGGTCCCCCCAAAATTTTGGGGGGCGGGGGCTAACTTTTTTTAAAAACTTTAAAATGGCGGCAAAAAAATGACGGAAAATCCATATCAAGGCTGTTTACCGATAGATTTGCACGAAAGTCAATACTCTGGTGGTTTTTGGCTCGAAAAAAATTAATCTTCCATTAGATTTTGGAAACACTGAATATCGTCAAAATGGTGGCGAAAAATAACGGAAAATCCGCATCCACCATCGCCATTCAAATTTTCGCCACCATTTTAAAGTTTTTAAAAATTCCAAAAATCCAATGAAAGATTCGTTCTTCTCGTGCCGAAATACCCCCGAATACCAAGTCTCATACAAATCCGGCGATAAGCAGCCTAAATATCCACTTCCCGCTCTAAGCCACCATTTTAACCGCCGCCATTTTGAAAAGGACTGACATTTCTGGAAAACTAATGCCAGAATCGTTTGTCCCGAAAACCCCTAGGATTCTGAGTTTCAGACCAATCCCCCGATAAAAAAACGGAGATGCCAAATTTCCGCCATTTTGAACTTTGACCGGCTGCCATTTTGTCAAAAATCAACATTTTGACCTGCGGTTTGCGCCAAAAATTTTCTTTTTTATTATCTTTCGAATGAGGCATCACATAAGGGGGGTTGCCATTTGAAAAAAAAAGTTAGCCCCGGCCCCCCTTAAGGGGGGCTGCCCCCCAAAATCTTGGGGGGACCAAAAAGTTGCTACCTTAAACCGAGGAACATTTCCAAAGTTTCAAACTTCTGTCTCAATTAGGAAAAGTTACAGGGGTGGTAGGTGACTTTTGGATAACCCTGTACATACCTATATAAAGCCGCTTTTATAGCGCAACCTCGCGCCTCGCGCTCTGCGCCGCCCATTGCCATTGCCCCCTATCCTCCCAGAGATCATCAGGCAATTGGCACCTTCTGATCTCCTCCTCCACCCCTTGTCGCCAACCTTTCACAGGACGTCCACGCCGTCGCCCTCCGGGAGGAACCCAATCGAAAACCTGTTTGGGCAACCGATCGTTTGCCATCCTTCGCACATGTCTATACTAGGGCTGTTCTATCGGTTGTCGGTAAACTACCGAAACAGTTCCGTCAAGAAAAAGTTATGATAAGAGCGCTCCTGCCGATAGCGATCAGAGTTTTCGGAGCTGACGAAAATAAACTGTTGCCATTTGTACATCTATTTTACGCGCCACCGCCCGCGCCAGGCAATCTGATAACCGACACACGGGGCAACAATGCATTGAGTGCGAGCTCTCCGTGCGAACACAACACCCCTAGTCCATACCAGACCAACTGCTTGGACCTGATATCGTGCACGATGTCATTCTCCACAATTTAGAAATTTTACTTAATGTAAATTTAAATTCTTGTAAAAATAAAGAAAGGTACAAAATAATTAGAAAACCGTGGAACATAAAATGAAAAAGAAACTTATTGTTACATAGGCATACACCGTTAAAAATTTTACGGCAGTATCGGCACTCGGAACATTTCTGCATCTTATTTAAATTTTATCTTATTAATATTTTCAAGGAAAGGAACACCTTTGGNGGGGGGGGGGGGAGGCTATAACGATGTTAAGTGGAATTCTCTGGAATCTGCGGATTTTCAAAGAGAACACGAGAAGAATTTACAATGTAAAAAGTATTCTTACATATGGATATGAAGTTCGGCAGATGGAGAAACGGACATGGATGTGAACAGAATGACGGATGAAATACTGCAGAAAAAATGCTTGATTCTATTCCTCCAAACAGGACTAAGGGGACGCCCAGTGGATGGGTAACAACAGGGGTTTTTAGAATATTTTAGTGTGGCTTCCTTGAGTTTCCTTAGTTTTACTGCACATATTTCAAAAATTGATATGTATAATGAACAATTATAATAAATAATAAAATATAATATAATAAAGCATAAATTATTAATAAAATATGATAAATAATTGAAATATAAATATTTAAACATTACGAGGCCCAAAAATAATGTAGCCCGGGTAATAATGTCCTTGCACAAATTTTTTTTATCAAAAGCTCAACATTTGACATAAGTTTTTACAACCACAAAAAAATGAAAAAGATTATAATTTTGGCGCCTATACCAAAATGGCGTCATTGCCCATAAGGCAACACGGTATGTGCCATGTATACATGTTACATCGGGGGGTCCCAACAGCAGAAAAGGACGCATCTGGTATAACCAGAATCGCCCAATAAGTTTGAAAAAACTATATTTTGACTTAGTGGGATAGATAATTATTATGCTACCAAAAGTGTTTCAATACTCTCACGAAGGAAGTTTTTAAACAGACGATCGAAGCTGAGTGGAAACATGCAAGACTTCAAGCAACCTTTGCATGAAAATTACGGAAAATTAAAGAAAGAGGGGGAGGGAGAGAGGGGGAAAGGGAGAGAGGGAGGGAGAGAGGGGGGAAAGAGAGAGTCATTATAATCGGTAAGAACTATTTAAAATAAATGAAATGGAAGACTTAAATGTGTATTTAATTTTTTAGTCTTTTTTCCGCCCCCCCCCCACAAAAAATTCTAAACATTTCCCAGGGATTGCGCGAAGACGTCGCCTAAAAATCGCTGTAACGCAGCAAATTTTTAATCAAATATGCTCAACTAAGTCACGTTACAAAGGTAATAAAATGTTTTTTAAACTCATGCAACCCGCATTTTGCCACCTTTAATTATTTGCTCATATGAGGGTTTGGGACGAAACTTTTGGGACACCTATGTATTTTTAAAAAATTGGTTTCCTTTTATTAAGTAATTTTATTTACTTTCATAGATTTTATTAATTTCTATCAATTTAATATTTCTTCTGCAATTCCATTTATCATTGCCAATTCCAATTATCTTTAACAATGCCATTTAATTTTATAAGTAAAATTAATTTTTGCCCTTTTATTAATTTTTATTTGATATTACACACTTTTGTTGATTTTACTTATATATTCATTTTCATGTTCTTCTAAGCCTCGGAAGAGACAGTACTTCCGGTATGCGCAGTATTACTGATGCACCACTGCTGAAAAGCTACCAATACAATATTACTTAACTTGTAGAAAAATCTCCTGTAAAATTTGAACACGGAAAGAATTAATGTCGGGGAAAATTGATGAAAAACTGAAAATTGGGTAATCGATATTCAGAAAAGACCCAACAATGCTTGACGTTTTTATGACAACAGACATCTGCATTGATTGGAGCAGGTTACTCCGAATTTCAAGGGTACTTTTATTAATACTATCCTACAGAAGTGAACATAATAATCGTTATCATGGGCGGAACTAGGAATTTTCTGTGGGGGGCACAGAAGGATATAGAATTTGGGCCGAGGGGGGTCTGGGGGGACTCCCCCAGCTACAGAGAAAGGAGAGGGATCCGGGGAGAAATTTTTGAAAATTAGAAAGTCTTGAGAGCAATTTAAAAACATTCTCAATGACAAATTAAATGGAATTATATATTAAAGATGACAGAAATTTTGCTGACTTGTTTTTCAAAATGTCAAATCTTACTGTGGGCTTTAAGTGAATTTCTCTTAATTTAACGCTCATGAAAACAAGTATTGCGCTAAAATGGGCGTAAAACCACAACCGGATACAGTCAAACTACATTCCACGTTCCTCACTCGGAGAAAGCCGCTCTCTTTGCGAGAAATTCTCATCTTCTGACATCTTTGATCGATTATAATAGGATTTAGCTCATATTTATTACATTTCATATGCCTTTTACCTTAGAGCTAATAAGTAGCTTGGGTCCTTGACATTTTTTGGAAGGAGCCGAGCAGAATTGTGGAAGGCGGGCCGCCCCGCCCCCTACTTCCGCCCATGGTTATTATTTGATTTACTTGAATAGGTATTCTATTTAATTTAATTTCATTCTTGTTTGTCAATTTTATTTCATTTTTATTAATGATAACTATTTTTATTCATTTAATTTAAAACCGATTCTAAGCACAAGTGGACTGAGGAGAATTGTGAAGCTGAGTGCTGGAGGAAGGAGGGGTATTTGGACGTTAGGGACATTGATATAAAATACAACAAATATGGCCTGACGGAAGTAGAGATCACCAATGCGCAACTCGTGGATAAGAAAGGCGGGAAGACTGAATGCAAGTGTACAGTTAACTCCTCCAACATGTATCTTACCTGGGCCCTTAAATGGAAGAATGTGGACCCTGATATATTTTTTAAGCAGCACCAAAGAGACCCGTACATGGCCCGGCTCTGGTTAGCCTCAAAAGGGTTCAAAGTCAGGTTCGAGCCCAAGGTACACCCAAAACTCCGGTTATTTATTAATTTATGAATTGAGGGGCTTGGAGGGCAAGGCGCATTAGTGCAGTTCTCGAAAAATTGAGATATTAATGATTTCAAGTAAAACTAGTCCTAATGCAAATGCACATTCCGTGTAAACTTCGATCTCAAATTCCAATAATTAAGCATCAAAAAGTCAGTTTGAACTTCCTCTCCGCCATGAGGATCCATTTAATTTCGAGACTCCAATCTCGTATTTCTCCGATTAGCAAAAACTGCATTATGCGCCTTGTCCTCCAAGTCTCTCAATTTTACTTCTTTACATTCCTTTTACATACTTTTACTATCTTGATTTTCATTGCGTTTAATGTTACGCCATTGTGTTTTTGCATGTTGAAGGATAGGGACCTACGCCACAGAGGCGTTACGAGATGGGGAATGGGGGGTCGAGAAATTCAAAATTTAGCGTGACATATTTTATAAACGGCGCCCATTGGAGTTGAGACATTCTTCAAAGAGACTACGTGACAATGGACATTGCATACTTCGCTCATATTCATATTAGTCGTCGTTTCACATGATTTGTAGCGGGCCAATTTGTCAAACTAAAACATGCTACTCATAATAATGAAAAAGTGTGTGAAAATGCGGACGATTTTCTGTGCCTCTCAATTCGTGCAGCTGCAATGGTTTAGTTGCGCTGATCACAGAATCCTGTTTTGATGTTTGATTCTTGTGGATCGGCCAAAAATAATAAGATCTCTCCAAACAGCAACTTTCTAAGTTCAATATTAACCGAGATGTCGCGCTTTGAAAAACACGGTTTATGGCGTCATCCACCGCGGTAGCGATACCCTTGGTTTCTTCCACCTTGGTTTTATCAGTCGGGAAGACGCACATTTACACTGGCTCAAAGACATAAAGACGGAGCGCTCGTATCTAAAAGCACGGGGAAAAAGTGAAGCTAGGTTCGGCGCTGCGCGCTTGTGTGAGTGTGTAAATGAGCGCGGGAATCCATGGCGGCAAACGGAAATTTGATTTGAACTTGTCCTCTTGATTTTTCCTTATTTCTTCTTCGAAACGTGTTTTAAATGCTTAAAACGATTATATTAAGAAAGTTCGGTCTGCGTCCTAATATATTACACCTACTTTTGCTCGGTAACAGGCAGTAATCTCAGATAAAGTTAGTTTTTCTTCTGCTTATGGTGGTTCTGCAGGTTCAAACAGGCCGTTACAGTTCTAGATCTACGTTACTCCCAAATGAAATCAGTCGGTCGACGACGGACCAAAACTAACCTAAAGTTAATAAAATATGAGTGTGTACCTGAATTTGGGCAAAAATCAACCTAAAATACTTTGTTTCCGCAATTTTATTTATTAGTTCCCGCCCTACATTTGAATTCAAACTTGTCCCGATTTCGCCGCCAATCCTCTAGCCAATAGTAGAGGTGATTGAAAAGAAGCTCTAGAAGCTTCATTTTTTGCTTTTAGTGCTCCGTCTTTATGTCTTTGCACTGGCTAGGTACTTACTCGACTTGAAACTTGGATGAAAACATGGTGGAAGAAACCAAGGGTGTCACTATAGAACTTGTAAGATAGGTCAGAATTTTATAGCTGAGCTATTCTCTGCAGGTCTTTTTTTTCTTTCTCTTAATTTCTTTTATCATTTTATTTTGTATGTTTGGTATTAATTGGATTATTAGTTTCCAATTAATAGTGGAACACGCAAAATAAAATGATAAAAGAAATTAAGAGAAATAAAAAAACCTGAAGAGAACAGCTCAGCTATAAAATTCTGACCTATCTTGCAAGTTCTCTTATGAAGAAATAACTCGCGAAATGAAGATGTAGAGCTGTATAAAACGCGTAAAAAAATATCAGTAACTTAGCTAACAGGAACACCCTGGTAAAAATGGCAAGTGTTAGGTCAGTGAATTTTCCACTGAGGTCAGTGCAATTTGCTCTGAGGTCAGTTCAGTTTTCTCTGACGTAAGTGTTAAAGCACTTACCCAAGAAGTCAGCACTGAGGTAAGAGGCACTGACGTCGGGAGAAAGACTTACCTAAGTGCAGAGATGTCTCTGAGGTAAGCGGGACTGATTGTGAGGTCAGGACTTGGTTCAGAGGGTAAGTCTCTGACATCAATCTTAATCGAACCGCACTCACTCCCAAAAAGTAGAGATGGCTCCCCCTTCCCCCACCCTATTTCATTTTCGTGGGGGAATATTTCCTCGGGACACGGGGACCACAAACTTTATCTTTCAGAGAGGCATATTTTGTAGAAGGGGGGATTTTCCAAGAGGAAAGGAAAAGTTGTTTAGGTAGCCACACACTCTTGAATAATTTGTTTTGCCTTCTTCGTTTATGATGGCACTTAAGTAATTAAAACACAACAAAAAATGAGATCGATAAAAATATTAGCACCGCTAAAATATGTATTTAGATATATTTATTTAAGCATTATTATTTTTTTATAAAAAAAAATAGTTTTAAATTTGGTTTTAATTTTTTTTCAGTTTTAACTGTTTTTAAAATGTTTCAGTCTCAATTTTTTTAAAAATTTTCCTTCTTTATTTTCAATTCTTTTCTAACTTTTTTACTCCTTTACTTTCAATTTTTGTATCTGCTAATTTATATTTTTTGTATAATTTCAACTTTCATTATTTTTTTTGCACCATTAGCTTTAATTTTGAATTTTAGTGCGATCCATTTTTTTTCAAAGAAACGTAACTTACAAAACTTCATTTACATGTTGATTGATTAAAAAAGAATAATAGAAAAATTAAGTATCGGATTCACATTCAAAGACAAAATCATCATTTGCTGGCAAGATTACCCCAATGGGGGCCCTGAAATGGTAAAATTACGCCCCTAACACGTACACGCGCAGGTAGTGTAGTGGTTCAATCGCTAGGACGATCACCGAAGTTAAGTTACGTCGGGCGTAGTTAGTACTTAGGTTGGAGACCGCATGGGAACGAGCGATGTCCCCTGAAGATTGTGATACTTGCTTGGGATTGAAAACTCACAGCAGCCCTCCCTGATCGTCAAATAGTGACTTAACGTACCTGGCAGATCGGTAATTATAGAAATTTTTGCCTGTACAGTATTTCTGGGATTTTCCACTCCGCTTACGTCTGAGACACTTAGGTCAGTGCCACTTACATCAGAGGCACTTGCCTTTGGAACAGACCTAACACTGAGGTAGCAGATCAGCGCCCGGCAGCACTGACATCAGTGCTTAGGTCTGTTGCAAAGGCAAGTGCTACTGATCTGAGCACTTGCCATTTTTACCAGGGCAGTAATTTAGCTTACAGCTATATGTATGATTCCCCATAGCTGGCTTTCCTTTGGCAAGATACTAATCTAAGAAATTCATAGAATAAATAACTCACCCACTTTAGTTCCTCCCCAAGTTAGATGATGGAACAGCTGGCTATAAGAATCCTTACAGCCAACACCCACAGCCTTACAAACAGTTAATGTTTATATCACGTTTTATATGGACGGCACTTCAGCAGATATAACCGACACTTAAAAGTTCTTTACCTTAACGTTGACGTTTTGAAGGGATTGTTCATACGAAACCGTAGGTCCATCACTGTTAATTAGCCTCTCTATTAATCTTTACATAAAACACCCAGGGGCGGCAAAATGTAGCTTGCCCAGGGGCGGCAAAAAGCTAAATCCGGCCCTGCATAAAACAACACTTACAAGTTATTTAACGTTTAAATAAGGGATGGTTCCTAGGAAACCCTGTTTCCTTCACCGTTAATTAACCTGTACATTTATATTTAATTACCGCTGATTTTAATGGTTAATTAACAAGGGGGTTACAGAGGGTTTCCTATGAACTATTGTTTATTTAAAAGTTATACATATAACTGTTACTTAATGACTTTTTTATGTATTCATTGGATTAATTTGTATTTAACCATTAACTTTCTCTGCTACTAGGTTTGCGACAAAGATTGCATTACATCTGATGGTTGGGTCCTCCTCCCGCAGGAACACACAGGACACAGGACCCGCATAGCTCTCTCAAATAGGAAGATGGTAAAGACGCCAGTCTTCCGCCCAATACTAGATCATGATAATAAGACAATATCAGTACATCATTCTGAAATGGTCTGCAAGTGCGTGCTAAGTTCTGAACTGCTCGAATATCTCCAACAGAAAGGTCACATAACCAAGCCGCAGCTCCAGGAGTTAAACAAAAGGTTCGAACTGGGTAACGACCTTATACCATGGTTATACAATCACTTTAAGCTCGAAATTCATCCCGCAGTGGATCAGTTTAAAGAAGAGAAGTATAAAGACGAATTTAGAGCGCTAAGACCAAAGATGCCCAAAAGAGGACCAATACATAGGATGAAGGAGGATGATCAAATATACGGCATTAGAGAAGATGACGAAGATGATGATTGTGCGATAGAGGAATGAGGCTGCCAGATGGATGCGTACCAATGAACGTCTAATTTAGTGTCTCCAGTGGTTTTATCACGATAATATAAAAATAATGGTCAAATCACACTTTTCTTATTTTCAATACTGTTGTCTGCTAATACACACTATATTCCACTTTATTTAGAATTTTAGGCTACAATAAAAATTTAGCAGACTTTTCAATGTGCTAATTGTCTTAATCCATCCCAGCTTTGCGTGTTCCCCTGCGCTTAAAATACCTTTATAGGAGGAGTATGGACAACTCAAAAATTTGGAGGTTAGGTTTGATCAGATCATGTAGCTCTTGGGGCCCAAAATGGTAACCGACCTATGAACTCAAATTATGCTAAGGTACTAATTTTCACAATTGTAAACTGCGAGAGTAGGTACCCTGATCAAAAATTATTAAAGCACGTATACAATTTTGATTTCGCGAACATTTTCTCGGTTCCAAAGTTTTAATCCTTAAAGACGCTTGTTTACAATGCGCTGTCGGCCAAATTGAGTAATCTTCCACATGCATAGGTTGGAGGCGGCTATTTTGTAGTGATTTTTGTTTTACACGGTGTCGCTCTTTTGGGCCCTGTGAGCTACATACATCGAGTTGTCCATACTCTTCCTATAATAGACGTACATTACCTACCCGCACCTGGTTCTGGAGGACTTAAAACAGACATTGCAGTACAATAAGAGTGACTGAGTAGGAAAACTTCATTGGTAATGAAAGGTAACTAATTTGGATTTGAGAAAAAAAAGGTCCAATTTGTTTTTACTGCATAAATCGTCACCTTCCGGCCAAAGAATCACAAGCGCCATGCGAAATTTAAAAATGTCCGCCACCTTTTTTTTTTTTTTTTTTTTTTTTTTTTTTTTTTTTTTACAGCGGTTCACCGAACAAGATCACAAACCGGCTCCCAGAATCGATATATTTGCGGAGTTTTAAATGGGGTCCCTTTTGCCCATTTAAAACTATGCGAATATATCGATCTCTCAGCGCCTCGATTCACCGAACACGATCACCCTCCGGCTCCCAAAATCGAAGAATATGCATAAGTTTAAATGGGGTCCCTTTTGCACTTTTAAAACTATGCAAATATATCGATCTCGCTGAGCCTCGGTTCACCGAACAAGCTCACCCTCCGGCTCCCAAAATCGATAAATATGCATAAGTTTAAATGGGGTCCCTTTTGCACATTTAAAACTATGCAAATATATCGATCTCGCTGAGCCTCGGTTCAACGAACAAGATCACCATCCGGCTCCCAAAATCGATATATTTGCATAGATTTAAAGGGGGTCCCTTTTGCCCATTTAAAAGTATGCAAATATATCGATCTTTCTGTGCCTCGGTTCACCGAACAAGATCTCTATCCGGCTCCCAGAATCAATATATTTGCAATGTTTTAAATGGGGTCCCTATTGACCTTTTAAAACTATGCAAATATATCGATCTTTCTAAGCATTGGTTCACCAAACTAAATCACCATCCGGCTCCCAAAATCGATATATTTGCATAGATTTAAATGGGGTCCCTTTTGCCCATTTAAAAGTATCCAAATATATCGATGTGTCAGAGCATCGGTATACATAGCCAAATCCTAACGCGGCTCCAAGAATCGATATATTTGCAAATCATGCAAATGTATCGATCTTTCTGAGCCTCGGTTCGCCGTAAGATCACAATCTTGCTCCTAGAATCGACTTTTTTAAATAGATTTAAATAAGGCCCCTTTTGCCCATTTACAACTATGAAAATATATCGATCTTTCTGAGCCTCGCTTCACCGAACAAGATCACCACCCGGCTCTCCGAATCGATATATTTGCATAGATTTTAATGGGGTCGTTTTTGCCCAGTAAATTTATGCAAATGTATCGATCTTTCTGAGCCTCGGTTCACCGTACAAGATCATCATCTTGCTCCTAGAATCGATTTTTTTAAATAGATTTAAATCAGGTCCCTTTTGCCGATTTACAACTATGCAAAGATATCGATCTCTCAGCGCCTCGGTTCGCCTAACACGATCACCCTCCGGCTCCCAGGATCGATATATTTGCATAGTTTTAAATAGGGTCCCTTTTGCCCAATTAAATCTATGCAAATAAATCAATGTGTCAGAGCATCGGTTCACATATCCAGATAATAACCCGGCTCCCAGAATCGATCTTTTTGCATAGTTTTAAAGGGGGTCCCTTTTGTCCATTTAAAACCATGCAAATATATGTATCTTTCTGAGCCTCGGCTCACCAAACAAGATCACCATCCAGCTCCCAGAATCGATATATTAACATAGTTTTAAGGGGGGTCCCTTTTGTCCATTTAAAACTATGCAAATATATCGATCTCTCAGCTCCTCGGTTCGCCGAACACGCGATCAACCTCCGGCTCCCAGAATCGATATATTTGCATGGTTTGAAATGTGGTCTCTTTTGCCCATTTAAAACAATGCAAATATATCGATCTCTCAGCGCCTCGGTTCGCAGAACACGATCACTCCCCGGCTCCCAGAATCGATAGATTTGCATGGTTTTAAATGGAGTCCTTTTTGCCCATTTAAAACTATGCAAGTATATCGATACTCTCAGAGCCTCGGTTCACCGATCAAGATTACCATCCGGCTCCCGGAATCAATATATTTGCATAGATTTAAATGGGGACCCTTTTGCCCATTTAAAACTATGCAAATATATCGATGTGTCAGAGCATCGCTTCACATATCCAGATCCTAACCCGGCTCCAAGAATCGATATATTTGCATAGTGTTAAATAAGATCCCTTTTGCCCATTTACAACTATGCAAATATATTGATCTCTCTGAGCCTCGGTTCACCGATCAAGATCACCATCCGGCTCCAAGAATCGATATTTTTGCATATTTTTAAATGGGGTAGCTTTTGCTCTTTTAAATCTATGCATATATATCGATCTTTCTAAGACTCAGTTCACGGAACAAGATCAGCATCCGGCTCCTTGAATCGATATATTTGCATAGATTGAAATGGGGTCTCTTTTGCCCATTATTCAATGCATTGAAAAATTGCAACTTTTTTCAAGTTTATTGCAATACGTTTAAAGTAACGGGACCTTTTCAAATAGGAGCTAGGCAACACACACACAACACTCAGTGGAATTGAAGTATTGTTTCATGTAATTGCTGCCCATTGCAATTAGTGTTACTTGGGTAACAGTTGGAAATCTTGCATTCCAAGATTATCTTCGCAATAGAAATTTTGCGAAAAACACAACGTTTCTTACATTTTCTCAGCATTTTCTCTGAAATAAACTCTTAAGCTCTCAAAAAATCTCGAAGTTGAAGCCGTAAGACAGGAGATCGCATACGTTTTGATAAAAAAGGGAATAAATACAGTAGAAGGGTTTCCGTGGTTCCAGCCTTGAATTCCCATTCCATAGTAAGCACTGCAAATTCATTCGCTCCTTGTTGATAAACAGAGAGTTTGACTGGGATACAGACGTGAACTCTCATCGTAACGTGGGCGATTCCCTGCATTACGGCTCTCAAATTTTGAGATCTCTTTTTGCGCTCTGAAGTTATTTTCAGAGAAAATGAGTACCTTCCCTGGTAAAAATGGCAAGTGTTAGGTCAGTGAATTTTCCACTGAGGTCAGTGCAATTTGCTCTGAGGTCAGTTCAGTTTTCTCTGACGTAAGTGTTAAAGCACTTACCCAAGAAGTCAGCACTGAGGTAAGAGGCACTGACGTGGGGAGAAAGACTTACCTAAGTGCAGAGATGTCTCTGAGGTAAGCGGGACTGAGGTCAGGACTTGGTTCAGAGGGTAAGTCTCTGACATCAATCTTGATCGAACCGTACTCACTCCCAAAAAGTAGAGATGGCTCCCCCTTCCCCCACCCTATTTCATTTTCGTGGGGGAATATTTCCTCGGGACACGGGGACCACAAACTTTATCTTTCAGAGAGGCATATTTTGTAGAAGGTGGGATTTTCTAAGAGGGAAGGAAAACTAGTTTAAGTAGCCACACTCTTGAATAATTTGTTTTACCCTCTTCGTTTAAGATG